TTGGGATCTCAACAACAAGCAGAAGTTCCGAATCAACTTCACTGCTCAAGTGGGGGATCGAATATTTGTCGAGGCATTTAACAGTGTTTTCTTTGAACACAACATTCACGACAGCATCTGCAGCGCCATCCACAGCATCTGCCAGCGTCTCATCATTCCCCAAGAGCCGGTCTCCGAGAGCAATCGCCACCACAGTAGTTCTGCGAGTGGCCTCGTCCCAGGTCCGACCTGCCAACTCTTTGATCTGCTGCTGGAGCTCTTCTCCTGTTGTCTCTGGTCGAACATCAAGACAAAGTTCCTTGCCATTCACCTGCCGTGCTGAAATCCTCATGGCCATGGCTGCGTCTCCCACTCACTCACTCACTCACTCGCTCGCTCGCTCACTCACTCACTCCGACCACCTCCGACCACCTCCGCCAGCTCCGGGGATGATGATGACTCGTTGTCTTTACTGACTCCACAGAGGACTCTCGTGTCCGCTGAAGCTTGCTTGCTTGAGTGAAGTTGCTACCCCCATGAGCTGAAGTTGATGCTGCTCCTATCGTGGCTACCCCCATGGAACGCACTGGGGAAGACCTTGACCTATGCTTGGTGACCATGCACATGTACAAGAGAGTCGACCCCGACCAAAAAAAAGGAAGACGGACTGGGTTTGCCAAGGAGAACCGACCAGAACTAGCTGTGAGTCAAAACCTGGAGCCCTGGTCACCCCGCCGGTAGGTCGACCTCCCTATATAGTAGTATACTCTTTATAGGTCGACCTCCCTATAGGTCGACCAGACGTGACTAGCAAGGATCGGTCCAAACGGTGGATTGGAGAGTCAAACTGGTCAACTGAGCAACAAGGCACTACCAACAGAGGTTAAGTGACCTGAACTAGGACCCGTCACCAGGGGTACCTATAGGATAGTCTATAGGGTTCTTCAACCTCTGTTGGTATCCTCTGACCACCCTGAAAACACGACGCTTCTGCGCACACACTCCACTTGCTCTCACCCAACTGTGCACCACAGAGCTCTCTAAGTTCACTTCCTCAAGTACCAAAAGAACCCTCAACCTCACATCTACCTCAACCTCTGTTGCCCCAAACCCAAACATCCCAGATGCCCCCCCCCCCCCCCAAAAGCCCCGCACTCGCCCGCCCCGGCGCGCATTGTGCGCGCGCCGCGCGCCGTGCTCAGCACCTGCGCTGCCGAGAGGTTCGACAGCTCCTCCGCCCGGCGCAAAGCGCGCTGGCGGCGGTCGCGCTGCAGCTGCAGCGCCTGCCGCTCCGCCTGGAGCCTCGGCCCGGACCCACGGCGTGGCCGACGGACCCGGCGCCAGTGTGGTTGATCCTGTTCGGATGTCCTGTAGGAACGAGGGCGCCGCGGAGGACCAGGTTCGGAAGCTATATACATCGCAGCAGCTGCAGCGGCAGCGAAGCTCGTAGGTCAGATGGGACTGCCTGCCTATAGAGTACAGCAAAGACCGAAAGTGAAATGGACGGTTTCCGTCACGGTGACTAAGGACATTCCGAAACACTTTGGTCCCAAAAATGTCCCAAAAAGAGTCAATCTGCGTGCCATCTTTCCGTGTTGCGCACGGAGGTGAGGTCTTTGTTCGTATAAAGTGGCACGTTCCAAGGTTTGGGGTCTCTATAATCCACACCCAACAGTGTTCCAAAAGTATCCATCCTCTCTGGAAAATGCTATGGAAACCTCTTCTGGCTGCAAAAAAGGAGATAAACTCTCCCAGAATGAGTTTAGCTCTATTTTATTACCCCCCCCCTGCCTCAAAGAAACGAAGTAACCCTTGACTTCACCTGAAAAGCCGCCGAAAAGGTCCTCCGCTCCTCCCGGGGCTCCGCGCGCACGGCGGAGCTCGGCGCCGCGGAGCGTGACCGGAGGCGAGGACGTCTCGGCGTCGCCTGGCGCGGTGGCGGCCGGTGCGGATGGAGCACCGGAGGAGAGTCCTCACCCAGACGCTCCATGTATGGTATATATGCCTACATTCCAGTGTATAGTCATATATTCCATACCAGGACCTTCCAAGAGGTGTCTATAAATAGCCTCTTAGTGGTTAAGGGGTGTCCAAAAACCACCTCTTGGAAGGTCCTGGTACATACATGGAGTGTCTGGGTAATTGATCTCCCAGGGAGGGAGAAAGGTGAGTCCGGGAAGATGTGGTTTTGAGTGATTCATTGTCAGGGACCTTGGGGGACGAGTTCACGCTGGGGGATTTTGTTGGGAGCAAAACTGACCAAACTAGAGTCCTTTGAAGAGTTCGGACACCTGGTGACACCCAAAGGAAACTGCTTGTTGACTGTCAGAAGTCTTGACATGCAAACATCGTACCTAACTTGGGGGCCGGTAAACGCTCTGGAACCCACTATATAATGACTATGACCCAGGAGTCACAAAGGGGTGGTGTTTAGTCCCTAAGTGAGTGGATCATGGGCACCCCTAACCTCCATTAAGCACCCCTTTGTGACTGCTGGACTATGACTCCTCTTGCCTCACCCGGCAGTCGTAAAAATCCACTACCCAGGACTACCCCAGGACGTCGTCGATCAAGACCGACTCGTCGCTGGACGCTCTTCCGTTGTTCGTCCCCACGCGGTCTTTCTCGACTCTTCCGCTGGGACGGAGGTCGAGTTGGACGGATCCGTATTTTGGGGGGAAATGCCCCGAGCTGGTCCAACCATTCCCAGAGGCGACCTATCTGGGACTGCCAGTCCGTTCTGCCGCCCCAGTCTGACCCCCTGGCACCACCACCATCCCTGGCCGTGAGTTCCTCGGCGGATCTTCCAGTCCCATGGGTCGCGTCGGTTCAGTCTCTTTCTTTGCGAAGCCGAGCTGAAGGACACCCGAGCTGAAGGACACAAAAACCTTGCTTCGGGGGAAAAAGAGGCCCTTCAAATTGCCAGGAGTCACGTTCGAAAGTCGTGGACATTCAATACATCACACGAAGACATCACACGATGGTGACGGGGAGTTCACCCACCTGCTTCGTAAAGGAAACGAGTCGCCCCCCTAGGGACCATGCCATCCACGTAACCATGTCAGTGAGTCGGAGTGTATCTCAATCTGTTGGTTGGTACCACCTTCCCGGAATTAGCTCGCAGCTCCAAGTGTCCCTTTTCAACGCGGAACTCCTGGGCATCCTCACACAGTTCAACTCCTTAGTAAGACTCTTGATTAATAAACCCCCCCGTTTGAATGCACGCACTTGCGGACCATATCAGAGGCTCGCACCCACACACACCCTTCCTGACTTGTTCAGGGGGTTATGGTGGGGGTGACGCTGAGTGAAACACCACTAACTACCTGGAAAACGAAGAGACCACGTGAGAAAAGTGTCAAATATATACAAAGAAAAAGGGCTACAAACGGACGAAATGCATCGGAGTTTGGTTGTCGGTGGAAAGTTCAACTCAGCATGGCATGGGACCACGGGATCGAAGCCCTAGCCTTAGGACAGGCGGATCCCTAGGGGCGTCAGCCAGTCGTGGCTAATGGCCAGAAAGAACCGGGGCGAGAGTGTAATTGATGTGAATTAACGAACGGCATCGCTCAATTATTCAGTCTACACAGGTGCACATGGGTGCACAATGGTGTCAAAGTTCTTCTTGCGGGCTGTGGCATTCCTAACTTGAATCAGGAAGGATGCCCTTTTCGCTTCGGGGATCTCGGGCCAAGAAGGCCAGGGATATTGTGGTTCCCGACTTGGCAGAGGAGGCAGTAATATTTATGGGGGTGGTTTATGCATCAAGTGTCTATACTTTGCCTTTATCTTCTTCGGCCCTTCCCCGTCGCCTTCTCGAAAGACCGGTCACCAAGGCTCTTTCAGCTGTCACCGACGTCCCCCCCTCCGAGCTTCCCTCGGCTTCATTCCCCCGCCTGGCGCGGGCGGTGCCACGGCCGCTTGCTCAAAGGACTGGGCCGCGGCCGTGAGGTAGCGCCTGACTCGTACGGCGGGTCGCGGAACACCGCCGTGGCTTCGGAGCCTTCGCGGTGGTCCGAAAGGCAAGTCATGGAGATCAAGTCATGGGTCCAACTCCACTGGTTTTGGGCGGGGAACCCGCGGGTTGTTCGGGAGCGAGTGGAACTCGTCGCAGAAGCACCGGCAGGATCACCGGAGCAAGGTCAACACCTCCAGGCTGACGGACCTGCCATGCTCCACCCAGCCATGGTTCAGGGACCTGCCAAAAATGCCTGCCGAACCTCATCCATCCAACCAGCCCAGTGCCGGTTTGAACGGCCTTGGAAGAATCGCAGGTGACCTTCACCTGAACACCAGTCCCCACCCCGGTCCCATTCGTCGAGCCACACCGCCGTCTCTGCCGGGTCGGACCGCGGTCTCGGACCTCAAGTCGCGGGCGTTCACGTCGGAAGCTGGGATGGAGTCGGAGGCGGCGATTCGGATGGATGGTGGCTTGAACCCATGGACATTTCGGCCCAAATGGTGGTCCTGATGACTACCAGGACCGAAACCACCAAGTCCGGTGGTGTTTGGGGCACCTCCTTGATCTCACCTGGTGTCGGCTGTTACACCTCCAGTCTGGGTGTCGGTCCGTCCCGGGTCACCTTCACATGAGGTCCGACGATGCCGGTTCCGGATGTGTCACATCCGCCAAGAGAGGTGGAGAGTGACCTTGTTATACCTTGTTCAACAAGTCTGAACAAATCGGGGAAGGTTCTTGTATAGGTTCGTTTATAAAGAGAATGGTCCCAGTCCCAATCTCTACAGGTCTCCGAAAGTGTCAGCTGAAATGCAGACTTCAAAGTCGCAGGCTGGTGACCTGGCAGGTGTCGGATCCTGGTCGAAGTCTTTGAAATCGGTTTCGACTCTGGGAATAGCTAGGGTCCAACCGCTCCCCCGGCAGCGTCAGGACCGGGGTGTTTTTGTTGCGCGGCTGAAGCTGCTTCTCTGTCTGCGTCATCACGACTGCTGCAGCTCTGATCGGGACTAAACTTTGAAACGTTCAAACTTGCTGCGAAATCCACGAAATCCACACTAAATCACTCAGATCCTCCGAAGTCCCCAAAGAGGAAGACCGACTTCGCCGGGAGTTCCTGCAGCTCAGCGGCGGTCTCACGGGTGCGATTTCATCAAGGAGGAGTCGTGTTGCTGGGGGTGAAAAGCTACAGAAAGCCTGCCCTTCGACCTGGCTCATCTCCAAGAAAGTGTAAGAATTGGTAAGTTGATGTTGGTTGATGTTGGCTTGGTTTGGTGCTTGGATTGTTTGGTTGGTTTGGCAGGGGGATTTGGCGAGAGGTGCGTTGCGTTGCTTGAATTGAGTTTGTCGACGTGGTATGGTGCGCTCAAGAGAAAGACCCTGGAACCCCACAGGTGTTCGTCGTTTTTTGTCATGTTGTCACACCTTGATCTTCGAACTGTGCCCAAGACTCTGCCTTGTCATCTATAATCCCCAGCTAAGTTCGGCAGACATGTCTTAGAAATGTTGCATTTCGTTGGAAGATCTAGGGTCCATCCACCAGGTCTCTTTTTTGCGCTTGGTCCCCCAACTTGTTTGGTCTTGGCTTTTCTCATGGTGGGACCCTCCACTGTCCCGTCTCTCCGCGATCTCTCTCCGCGGCAGCCGCACCTCTTCGACGCAGAACTCTGGGGCCGGGAACACCTGCCCAACTTGCCACGCCTTCCTATCCCGCCCCCCCCTGGCCCAACCGAAACCGTCCTTGCCTCTGTCACCCACCGAAACCCCTTCGAGTCCGAACGGAGGATCCAGGTGGACTTGTTGACTTAAAAACCACCTTCAAATGACTAGGACCCTCCGAACTCGGGGTGTCTATTTATAGCCCCTTAGCCGTGATTCAAGGTGTCATTAACCACCCCTTGAAGGCCCTGGGACATGACGAGGATTTGATGGATGACGTGCCCCTTCTGGAAGCCTCCTGCCCAGAAAAGCTCGCCTTCTGCTTTGTGCACCGCAACGGGCGGCCTCAGTGGCATGTTCGGCGAAACAGGCAACGACTTAGCCTGGTGGTGGTGGTTCAACACAGCCGTCGTTAAGACAAGAACTGCATGTGATTGATTTTTATTCTACCAGGACCTTCCAACAGGTGGTTTTTGGACACTCACGTCTTGGAAGGTGTCTTTCAACCAGGTCCATCTGACCAGGTCCAATACCACATACTACCACATACTACCACTAGTCATGTCACGAACTCCCAGTTTGGACCCAACGCTGGGGAGGCCGGGCCAAGGAGTCCTGGCTTCGCTGCGTCCAGCTGCCGTGTGGGCGAAGGCAGCCGCTGCGTTCCGGCGCTGAGGGCCAACACCGACACACGGTGTGAACACCCCAGCGCCGAGGCGCCAGCGCCGGCGCTCGCGGTCAACTTGCCTCCACCCTTGCCAACTTTGGTAAGGGCTGTGGTATGGCTATGGCCTTGGCCCTTGGTGGTGCCCTTGGCCGTAGTGATGCCTACACTCCTGGCAGCTTTGGTTGGGGCTCTTGTTGCACTGTTCCCTTCGCCCTTCATGGCACCCTTTGCTGTGGTGTTGCCTGCAACACTGGCAGCTGCGCGTTGAGTTGCGCTGCTGCTCTCACCCTTGGCAGTGCCCTTGGCCACAGTGTTGCCTGCACCCTTGCTGACTTTAGTACTTGTACGGGCTCTGGTTGTGCTGTTCCCTTCGCCCTTGATGGTGCTCTTGGCCGTGGTATTGATTGAACCCCTGGCAGCTGTGCCTGGGGTTGCGCTGCTGTTCCCACCCTTGGCGGTGCCCTTGGCCACAGTGTTGCCGACACCGACACCCTTGCCAACTTTGGTGGCTCTGCTTGCGCTGATGCCTTGGCCCTTGGTAGTGCCCTTGGCCATAGTGATGCCCACACCCCCGGCTGTTTGGGTAGGGACTCTGGTGGCACATTTGCCTTCACCCTTGCTGGTGCGCCTGGCCATGGTGTTGCCCGCACCCTTCACAGCTGCGCCTTGGGTTGCGCTGCTGTTCCCACCCTTGGCGGTGCCCTTGGCATCTTTCGTAGCAACAGGGCCATGGTCATCAACCTGGCTTGGATCACCCATCGATCTTTTGAACGCTCCGTCTAGTCGCACCCGCCCGCACGTGAGGAAAGCACCGACCTATGTCATCTCTGCTGGGGACCCTCTGACTCTGCTGGGTGAGCAGACACAGCTTGGGGAGCAGACACAAACAAGCTTATTGAGAAGTGACGTGCCCTGAACCTGTTTCGGATTGTTGGATATTGTTGGTATGTGATTAGGCCTGAAACCACTCCCCAGCTTTGAGACCGAACACATCAGGCTGTCCTGGATTTTTGTTGAGGAGGTAATATATGTGTTGTGGTCAGTGGTCACAGGCGGCAACTGATATGTCTTTGTAAGACCAAGCTGATGAGAGGAGATGATAAGTGAGACGATTCTCGGAGTATTCGAGGTGTCGAATACTGCTCGGAGGTTCGGACTTGAGCTGAGTAGAGGACCCGCTGAGGACCCACCTGAGGTGCAGGTTTCGGCGGACCCTGGATTCCCAAGAGGCTTTCTCAACGGCAAGTGTCGTGGCAGTGTCGTTCACTCGGCCACTCTCGGCCCATGGCGACACCGGAGAAAAGAAAGGCGCCTCTTTCCGCGTGACCTCCTCGCTGGAACCATCACTGCGAGTGTCCTGAAGACAAAAGACGAACCCCCCAAGGTGTTCGCGCCAAAAACAGGCGCAAACAAAGGTGCCGAAACGGTTTTGGAGCTTGGGCTGGTCCATGAAGCATCTATCAGCTATGCGTGTTGCCGGTGGTTGCCGAAGAAAAAGGAGGCCCTTTGACGATGTGCTGTTTGAGCTCGTGTCAGAGCTGCTTGGGGCTAGCGGTAGACCGTTCTGAACGCTCCACACCCACCAACCCTGCACACTTCAATGTTCATCTTGCATCCGGTAAACAAACTCCACGTAAACTTCCAGCTCCACATGTTTTGGTCCTCCAGCTCCACCAAAAAGCACCAAACACCACCATGTTCAGGGGTGATGTCCTGCATGGAAGATTCTATGGGTCCCTCATCATGACCCTTTTGCTTGCGAAAACCGGTGACCTTCATCTGCGTCTTCGGTGTTTGGTGATCACCTCTGCCCTCTTCGGGTCGCTCAACCGAAACCGACCGACCACGGTGCAAAAAAACACCGGCCGATGGACGCCGCGGCGAGGCGCGTCCGCGAGCGGAGACGACGGAATCGAGAGTGTCTTGTCCGCGGGTGGATTTGGGTTCCAGATGAGTTGGAAATAGTTGGAAGAAGAGAAGTCCATGTATACCTCGACCACGACCGAACTCTGGGTTTGCCCTGGTCTGGGTGCATCAGTCGCATCGCGGGCACCTTTGAAGGCCAGGTGATGGTTTTGCTCCCCCTGTGGGGCTCGGCTTCTTCCTCTCCAAGAATCCACGCCCCAAAGAGTCGGGATTCAAGGCCATATATGTGGATCAAACCAGACATAGAGAACCAAAAACCATCATTGGTTGACAAACTCAAACCAACCTAGCACTGACACAGTCCGGGTGCCCTGGAGGTCTGGAGACCTATTTACGTAGGGAGTCGGGTAGTCGAACGCCAGTCGAACGCCAGGACACCCAGGTCCAGAGAGTGGGACCAGATTTATGGATTGACCTTGGTCCCCGAAACCTTCCTTTATCAAGGAAACCCTTCGTGGCCAGCAGTATTACTGTAGACCCAGCAGTACCCAGCCGGAGAGTGCTTTGGACCCCAAGAATTGGTGACTTGGACACCCCGCTCATGAGCCACCCTGCCTCAGGCACCCCTGACTCAGCCACCCTGCTTTCGACGCACCAGTCAGTCTAATTCATCACCGGAAAAAAGGATTGGAATCAGAAGGTCCTCAAGATCCCGCTCTTCTTTCGGTCCCTTCACCTCCCACGTCCTCCGCGTTCCACGCGCCAACCGCACCCCCCCCCCCAGAAGGACGAGCCAACCGCCGCGCCTCGGTGCTGGCGTTGGAGGCGGCTTTCCTCAAGACCCTGGCGGTCTGAGCGCGATGGATCGCCGGTCTGCGCGATGGATCGCGCGGTTCACCCGAACCTTTTGGGGGGGGAGAAAGAGGTGGTCAATTATATTCCCCTAGGCTTCCAAGACCATTTAAAAAATGGTTGACCTGGTTTTTGTAGTCTAAAATCCTTAGTGAATTTGGTAAAGCCTATTAAATTAATGGTTGTTGGAAGCCTAGGGTTCTGGTCCAAATATGAACACACGAATTCCGGTGAAGTCCGATCCACAAAGGCCTGCATGGTCCACCTGCGTTGGATCCTGTCGCCCGCCCTTCACCACTGAACCACCCCTGGAGTCCGACGAATGGAGTCTGAGCGACACTGCTGGGTGGTGGTCGGAAGAACATGAAACATTACTGGCCAGCAGTCACAAAGGGGTGGTGTTTAGTCCCTAAGTGAGTGGATAATGGGCACCCCTAACCTCCATTAAGCACCCCTTTGTGACTGCTGGGGCAGGTGCTTAGCAGGGAATGAAGGAGTGACCCTCCATAGATACCTTGGAATCCATTGCCCCATTCTCTACTCAGCACGAGTCAGATTAAAAAGAAAACGTCGAGCACTCGCTCTTGTCGCGGGTTTGACGGCTCATTGCTCATTGCTCATGTGTCGGCTGCCTAGCAAACCCAATGTCAAACCAATCAAAAACAGAATTGCTCGATGCACTCACCCACTACACGATTTCCTTGCACCCCCCACCACCGCACCAGCCAGAATTGATTGTTCCTGCCTGGTCCTCATCTTGCTGGGGCGCTCCGGCGTTTCAAACTGCACGGAGGAGGTCATGAGGTCCTTGAAACTGATTCCGCCTAAGGCCAGCTCCTGACCGTGCAGCTGAGCGACCAGGCCACGACCCAAAACGCGAGAAAACGAAGGCAATCAGAGGCGGTCCCCACCACGCGGAAGGAGAGCGCGGAGAGCGCGGAGGAGGGCACTTCTTCACCCATCAGAATTTGGACTTCAAAGAACCTGGGACCCGTGCCACCCCCGGTATATTGGGACAATCAAGCTTCAAAGCCCAGCTTCGAGGTGAAGGGCTTCAAGGGGTGTCTCTGTTCCAAAATCGAGACACCATTCCAGTTGCCCCCGTCGTCTCGTCAGGAACCAGTCGACCATGTGGTCCGGAACCAGCGGGCACCGAATTCGCAGCGAATTCGTCTGAAGACTCGGTCGAAGTTGGCACCGGGTACTGTCCAGTACAGAAGTGTTTGTGTTTGGTGCACGACTTGCTTATGTTGCTATCAACTGCCTGTCCTGCAACGGTGTTTTCGTCCAGGTGACCTTCCAAAACCCCTCGAAGACTACCTCATGCACTGCTTAAGGGGTTACCCCAGAGACCTCCCGGTGACCCCAGAGATGCACTTCGACGGCGACTGGAAAAAGGATGGAAAGCGCACGTATTCCCCCGGTTGATGCCGCTTCACGATCGCTCGGCTCGAACCTGGGAGTCGCACGACGAGGACTCCAACGGTGTGGATGGGCGGAAATCCCGGATCTTTCTGAAAGATGGTTCTTTCTCCACATGCCTATAGGCATCGCGTGTGAAACATTAATTGGGCAAGTGCAAACCTGGACGTGAGAAAAAAGAGACACATCCTCTTCAGAGTCATCCAACATCTTCAGCGCAAGAAAGGCTCTCCGTTTGATTTGGTACAGCTCTAAAAGGCTGCCTAGGCCAAGACGGATCCAAAGGGTGGCTTCGACCGACCCGAAGCTCCTCGGCCGAGGGCCTCTCATCTGCTGCTCCACCTGGGCGGCCGGCGGGGCAGGGGGCACGGCCAAGGCCGTTAGCCGCACGGCAGGCCGTGTGGATCCGATCCTCCAGCTTACCACTTCCAGAAACCAGTGGGGTCAAGAATGGTCAAGAATCACGTGAACAAGCAGGTCTGTGAAACCATTCATGAAGAAACCCAATAGAATTGATGATCCCAACAAAAATACTAGAGAAATTAGCCATCCATCCCCTTTTTTTACAGCCTTCCCACCCCACAAGTTTGCATGTGTCAAGAGGTTTCAAGCACTTTCTCTGCCACCATCCACCGCGCGCAAAACCCGTCTCCACCGCACCTCGCAACACCTTCGGCGTCTGGCACAGGCATGGCGTCGCCCAGCGGGGCGACCTCTTCACCCCCGAGCCTCGCGGTGCGGAGGCGGGCCGAGGGGCTCAGGGGATGGACCATAGGAACCCCCAATGTTCGACTATCCCAATCCCAGGAAAACCGGGTCCTAGTGCAGGTCACTTCACCGATCTTGACCTGCCCAAAAGGGCCTTGGAAGACACTTGGCCACTGGGCGGCAGAGGATCCGAAGAAACCGGTGCAGCCGCGTCACTGAAGACACCCATTTGGAGGAAGACCACCCGTCCAAACAGCTGCGAAGCAGCGAAACGAAGCTCATGTGCTTCCGAAGACTCTGCGCCCCGGTGCGATCCCCACGGCTCAACGGACGCGCGGCTCAACGGACGCGCGGTGAACATCCGCCGCGCCTCTCTGGGTGATCCTGCCGCATGCATGCGGTGCTGCAGGCGAGTCTGCGATTCTGCAGGGAGACCTGATGTTGTTGTATGAAAAAATGTTGGTTGCTTCTCAAGAACCTGCGACTGCTACCCCATCAAGTTCACTCTTTTCAGACTTTCAGCTGTGTTTTTGCCCAATGCCCAACGGTTTTGCCCGTTTTCTCGAAGTGGATCCTCCATCTTGATCCATGTTCCGTGGATCTTCCACCACCCGGGCCCAGTAGAGACAGACACGACCCATGGGGCCAGTCCGGACCGCCTTCAAACCGGCCAAACGGGGTGGTGGTGGTTTGGGGTCTGTCTGGGGCGGCAGTCCTATAGCAGATCCCATTTCGGGTCGCGTCTGGGATTGTATACCAAGAGAGGTTGAGAGGTTGTATATAAGACCCTGGTCTGTGGTACATATGGGATGGGCGACCAGACGGGCTGTCCAACCTCTCTTGGTAATACCCACCATCAACTGCAACCACGTACCTCCCAGGCTCCAAGGCTTTCTGAACCCATCGGTCTCTCCTGAAGCGACCCCTCACCGCCGGGGCCGGTCAACCCACCCGGGCACCTGATCGACACACCTTCGCCGCGTGCCCAGCTTCCACGGCCCTCCTGCGGAACGAACACGTGGAACCACGAACGGCGCGGGCGGAACGTGCCCCAAATGGGGTGCAAAGAAAAATAAAAACACCTGGAACGGCTGGGAGTTTCGATCTGGAATCATTGGCTTGTTTCCGGCTTCTGGAATCAGCAGTTAGTTTCCACTCTCTTTTGTGGAGTTCCTGTGTGTGAGTGACCTTTTAGCATTGCCTGTTGGTGACTCGAAGATCAAATTCGGTCACTTTGAAGAACCAATACCCAGACGCTCCATGTATGGTATATATGCCGATCAGTTGGGGTGGTGGCACAGTCCTATGGCAGTCCCAGACAGGTCGTGTCTGCAGTCCACAGACCCCGAACCGCGAGGTGTCCAAGTCTCGCGGACCAGTGTTCTATCATCCGAGTCTCTAGGCAGTCTGGGTACTGAACCAGTTTTTCGAGCCCCAAGACTCGCGCCATGCATCCAGTGGATGTTTTCATGGAGGGCACCTGAATTGTCCTCCATTCCTTCCACGTGTAGCAGTCCGTCCATCTGGTTCCCCACAAACGGGGTCTCTCAAGCAAGTTCGCAGAAACAAGCATGGAAATGGCAAGGTGCCCTCTGTTTGTTCTTTGAATTCATGTTGTGGTTCAACATGCAAATGCATGCAAATTCGTTCCCATTCCTCTTAGGCTTCAAGAGGAAGCTTTCTTCCTCTTTCCTTATCAACCTGCATCAACACCTTTGGGACATGGCCTTCGTTTCACCGAAACAAGTTGATGGCATGGTGTTAATTTACCGGCGGACCTCAATGTATTGTCAGCTGAGCAAGATGTGAAAGGGACCACGGTGAAGTCCAACAAGACCTGGTCCCTGATTCCTTACTGAGATTGGTGGCACCAACCAGCGAAAACCTGCAGCCCTTGCGAAGAGTTCAAAATCTGAGTTCGATCTGAGTTTGCATCATCTTGTCGCAAACTAAAGAGAGCGTTCAAAACATTCACAGGACGTCTCTTCACTCGACATGAGCCCGTATGTTCATGCCGCAACTTCCCCGTGTCGAACTGGCTGTGCGGCTGTGCCAGTCGTGACGGTCCGTTGACGGGGTTGAGTCCTCCATCTGACCACCGTGGCGCATCGCGCAGGTCAAACGTGAGATCTGCAAATGATGTAGCCTATGTAGCCCTGATTGTCATGATAATACACTAATGCAGTGATCCTGATTATTCATGCACACATCTTTCTGATTGATATACAGTATGGTCATAATATGTCATACTACAGTAGCACGTAACAATGATGCGCCAGGCTTGGTGCTTGAAAGAAGGCTCAAGAAGGCTCTCGACTCGGCTCCAAGAAAGAACCCGTGTTCCAACATGAACAAGTTGTTCTTTTTGATGAATCAGGATACAGAAAATGCATGAAGATGCTATATCAGCATGTAGAGACGTTCATGAAAAGGCTCTTTTTCATGTCGTCTTGTTGCTCATCACCTGGCTGCGCAGCTGTCGCCAGGCTAAGGTGCCCGGACCCTCCAGGCGCTGCTCGGCCAAGGCCTTCTTGAGGACCTACGCACGGGCCGGTGTCCAGGGGTGGTTCGGTCGAAGGGAGGTTTCTCTGCCTGGGTGGGTGGGTCGACAGGGATCGAAACTCTGAAAAAGGAGCCTGGACTCTCGGAGATTCTAGCTTTTGGACCCTCAAAACCTTGGGATCCAGAAAAGCTCTGAGAGCCTCGGGCAAACTCGGGCACCCACCCCCAAAACACCCGGTTGGAGAAGACGAACGCCCTTCCACCGAAACGCCTTCCAGCTCGGGTCTAATGGACCGACTGGCTGCCTGAGCGGCTAAGCGCCGGTCCTTCTGGAGCACGAGCAGAACCTGGAGACGCTACCAGCACGGCGTGGCGCCGGACCGGAGGCCGTTCGACCAGAGCGGCCCGAGGCTGCTGACGGAAATGGATTGGCACTGAGAACACATGCGCCGCCGGCGAGTGGGCAGCCTTTAAAAGAAAAGTATAGAAAAGTACTATAGTACTATGTGGCTGGGCCAAAGCAGCCAAGAACGCTGTAGGAAGCGCCTTTTGCGAGTTGTTTTTTTGCGTGATATAGATATGAAGGATATCGTCATCCTCAAGTAGGTGGGCATCACGGCCATGACAACTCAAGTTTCAAGTATATTCAAGTTAATTTTGTCCATATTATATGACACCTACCAGCACCTTCAAAGGGGTCACCAATGGAAGCCCCTTTAGGGACCTCCATTGGACACCCCTTGAGGGTCCAGGTACGTTTTTGGATGCAGTCTCCTCTCGAACAATCTATGCTTGCATCATCTTGGCATCAATGAATGTTGAGTGTGGCGTGGTTAGAGGCGGTGCATGTTCTCCAACCGCTTTGACCCCAAAAGACCTCCCAAGGGATAGTCCGTCCATCGGAATCATGGTATAACCAAGCAGCACTTGTTGAAAGAACCAAGGAGTACTATGTCCGCCTGCCCAAGTTCTGGGAGTATGTCCGGAGAAAGGAACCCATCCATACCCAACACACACACTCATGAAGGAACCTACATATATCAGCTGGTTGAAGAGAGGTGAAAGGTAAATATGCCAGGTCCCATGAATATCCCTAGGGCTCCAAGTACCTTCTCAGAGGGTATTTGGACCCTCCTGGCACCTACATAACAGTGTCTCCAATCACCGTACCTGAGAAGGTACGACTGGATCCCTAGGGCTCCAAGTCGTGTTCGTGGGGTGGTCACCACTTCGGCATCCGGATCGCCGCACCTCGTCACCCCGGCCAAACCAGGAGACCTCAGCACCCTTTTTGGGGCCGCCTTGACGCCATTAACGCCATTATTCGTACCGGCGGAGAGCAAGCCACGTTCTCCGGTCACAGAGTCCGGTGGCTGTCGGTCCACATGGTAGGAGGTCCCGATGGTTTGTAGCAAGTGCTCATGAAACCCGTCTTGCCTCGCCAACTGGCGCCGCACACCTTCTTCCAGCCCGTGCCACGTTGTGACCAAGTCGGTTGCAAAAACTGCGGCTCCATTGATTCGCAAATACTTGGGACGTCTGAAGAAAGAAAGCAAAAACTGGAAATGCTGTCTTGACTCTTGCTCGTCACCATAAGTCTGTGCAGTCAACACGTCCTCCAATCCTGTCCATCGACGTGTCCAAGGCTCATTGGCCCAGGAAAAAAAGAAAGGCAAATCTGGCTGTCCAGCTCTCAACACCAGCTCTGGAATCTTTTGCACCAAGTGATTCTCAGGAGCCCCTTGTCCGGAAAACCAAGTGGTAATACATGAAACCGGACACGTCATGGTCTCGAGCCATCTGAGCTTGCTGCCTTCGGATCTCATAATTCGTTAAATTGTAGTAACCAAAACCTCCATCTGCGATCCAGTGGCTGTCTGAATGGAACTGTAGGACTGCTTGTGTTCCCAGGGTCAAGATCTTTCAGCAAAGTCCTTTCTGTGAAGTTTTCTCCCCAAAAGCGGTCATTTTCAGGAAACTTGTGGAATTGAGGAAAATGGATTGCAAATACAATTGGCGCAGGCTGCACGTCTTTTACAATGCCCCCTTCACTCTTGATAAGAGAAGGCAGCCAACTGTTCAGGTGCGCACGTGGAAGATCAATCTCCTTGTCCCAAGACAGGAGCACTTGCAAACCCAAAAGATTGATCTAAAATGAATCCGCTGCCACCAACAAATCGTCTTTCTTGACCTTCCCGGTTGACTCGAGTCGTGCCCCGAGTGTCGACATATATGATCAAAATGTTGTGGGCCATGTGCGGAAAGACCTGCAGGGTGTAGAAGCGAGTTCGGAGCTGCTTTCCTCCAAGGTGCAGTCCCCGATGTGGGTCAAATCTCTGCAACCCGCAGTCTAGGACTCCTTAGGTCTGCGACAAGGCTCAGTCCAAGGGGTCAAGGCTCTGTCATTCTGTCATTCGAAAGAGCGCAAAGCCATTGCACCAACCCTGCTCTTTCGCACCACTGCTGCGATCGTCTTTTCCCGACCAGGTCGCTGCACACTCCGACGGCGATCGTCTTGAGCGGGCCTCGCAAAACGCGCCATCTCTGTGGACAAACTCAGCCTTTCAGGAACCAGCGGTCGTCGCATTCACGACAGTGACCACTCTTTTGCTATGATCGGAGCCCAGTCGTGGGCGCGCGGTTTCACGCTTCACAGGGCGCGCGCAACCACAAATCCACCATCCGAAATGGAGAGGACCGAGATGAAAGACTGACCTTGAAACCGATCGCACAGGCTGTGAACATCGGCACATCCCAATTGAAGTGGACATGTGATCTTTCTTAAGATTTCAAGTGCGGCTAGGCTCCCCATTGTAGGATAGGGGTCGATACGTCCAAAGATAGGTCAAACACCCCTCCAATCACCATGACAGAATCCTTCGAACCCATAGGGGTCGTTCGAATCCTTCGGACCCTCTTAGAGGACTTGTCAAATTTGGAGCAAACTGAGGCGTCTCACCCTCTCACCGCCTCATATGATCCCACTCCGCCTCACATCGTGTCCTCCGGCGCGCGCGCCTTACCCCCGCTCAGCGGGTGCCAAGGTTCCCCATGGCCCATGGGATCCCATGCTTCGCCAGCACCTCCACCGGCACCGCCGGCCTAAGAGCACCGCGCATCGTTTCCGAACGACCGGCCAGACAGGCGATGGAACAAAGACCAAGCGGTAGGCCCTGTTTAGGGGGTCGATTCAGGACTCCCTGATTTTTCTTATAGTGATCATATGACAGAATATCAGGGGCCTCTATGGGCCTCTATGAACAACCTAATGATTGGGTGGAGAAGGCCTCTGTCAGAATGCAGCAGTTAATATGTCAATACCTGAAAGTACACAGACAGAACTTAGGTACTAAACTGCATGCTGCAGCTTTGCCATTCCCGCCCAAACAATGAATCACAGTCGGTCGAAAAAACCATTTGGTGTGCCTCTGATGATTTTTCCACAACTGTGCAATCTGAAACAGCTGTGGGTGAAACCTGGTGAAACAGGAGTATTGCAGCCGCAACCCCACCCAAACTATAATATATATATATATATGATATGATTGGAATACTGCAACCCTAACCATCATTGGACCCTCCGAACTGGAGGGTTTTGACCCTGTCTAGCAGGGGATGGACCCTGAAAACCTTCACCGAACTGAGGGTCCTTGATTCTTAGTGACAATTCTATCTTTGGGTTTCTCAGTTCTCAACCACCAAATGGGCAACTTGTTTGGATCGATCAATCTTGGAGAAGGTCCTCCGCGTCCGTCATATGATGTTTGAGAAAGGTGTATAACTGTATAACTGTAAAACGGAAGCAGCAATGAGACCTCTAGTCAGGTCATCCTCTAACTCATGAAGTTCATGATGGACAATGAGTTCAAATTGACCCGTGGTTTGCTTCCCATGTTCCGAAGACCAATCCGACTGTTCTTTTGGAGTTCCATGTGGGTCAGCCGGATGAATGATAACCATACATGGAGCAGATAGAATATGAACCAGTCAAAAAAAGATTGAATTGATTTTCCCATATTTTCCCATATACCATTTGGATCCATTGTTGGTGCTTCCGCCTTGAAAACGCCACTTCTATCGCCAAGTCGCCTTTCTTCACCCGCGGCGCCTCTGCCGCCTCGACGTCGACCGGTGCTGGTGGCGGTGGCGGTGGCGGCGCGGGCCGCGCGGCAGGGCGGAGCATGAAGAGGAAGAGAAGCAGCTGCAGCGCGAGAAGGCACCATGGCGGAGGGGCAAATCCAGCAGCAGCTTGGGATAAACATTGATCGTAGTTATTGGATCTGATATGATCTGACAATGTTCTTCTACTTGGTCGATCTATCCCGGTGTTTAAAACGAATCCTCATGAATATATAGATCTGAATGGATGATGATGGAGAGAGGCTTTCGAAGGCTTTCTGCAAGCATCCCATCTAGCAGGACCTTCCAAGAGGTATCTGCAAATAGCCTCGTAAATAGGGTGATTTCGGAGTATCCATGAGTATCAGAAAACCACCGGGCGAAAGGAAGGTCTGGTATAGTGCTGTATAGTGCTGTATGCGATGTATACTTGGTACCCACAGTGCCTCAAACGGATATATGTACGGATGCTGGTGCGTGGCGCTTCTTCGGGCGCCCCGGTGGGCGGCCCAAGATCCGCAGGTCCCAGAAATATGACCTGGAGCTTCACACCAATCCCGTGGATCAAAAGTCTGGTTGGGTGGATCTGCTTCCAGGTTCGCCTCGGCTCCGATCTGCATGGGGACTCCTGGTCCGTCCGCCACGTCCGTTGACACCCAGACCGCACCGTCCATGGACGGCGGCCGGGCGTCATCCCTGGACGTCCGAGGCACGGACCTTCGAAGGCGCGGGTCGGAAGCGGCCGCGGATCGGAGGATCGGACGGATTGTCCCCCCCGGTGGTGTCGGATCTGGAAGACATACCTGGAGCCTCAGTTCCTTCAGAACATGGGTCGTCTTGTGCCTGTTTTTGGCGGTCGGGTCGTGTCCCATGTTCTAAGGTACTGGGTCAGGTCCGGGTATCCCCCAGGAGTCACATGGAGGGCCTGGGTGGTGTTCGTCCCCAGGGGCGGATGTGGCCAGGGGGGCACCTAACCTCCTTCCTCGGAGTCCGCACCCCTTCGAACTGCTCCTGGCTTGGGTCTGCTCGAAAAGTCGAACCGTGCCGCCATTTGGACAGTTTTGGAGGTGAGTGAGAAATGGCACAACCCCCCCAAGAGGTCTTTGATATATACGGGTGTCCATTTAAAGCTGTACCTTTTGGGGATTGTGCCATCTACTGTGAAACCACTAGTATCATGTCCTTGTCCAATATTGTCCAATCCTCTTCCAACACCCAACTCTGCCCAGGTCACCAGGTCAGCCACCTTTGGAAGTCTCCATGTCAGCCACCTGCCGAAAAATGGGCGACCTGGTTTAGTCGGACAAATACTCTCAACCACGGTCCTTCTAGTCGGTTCGTGGTTTTTCCCGGTGCCTGGCAGTTCCCCCCCGAACGCACCTGAGTGCTGTTCGCCACGTCGTGCTGAAGCCGCTCTAAGGCCTCCAGGTGAAACGGTTGTGGCGCTTCGGGCGTGATGGATATCCGGTGCAAAAATCCAGTTCAACGGTCGAATCAAGTTGGGTGCACTGGATGGTTTGGCGCTAGCCATCATCCAGTGTAAGGCACCACCGAGCTGCCAATGGAGATGTCTTCAGAGTGTCTGATTTGGATCTTTTGGTATGTCCACAGACTTTCAGCCACGTCGGATGTGTCCATATACAGATCTTCCAACTCTGCAAATGTCTGCCGAACACACTTGGCTGGTTCTTTTTCTGAATGCGATGTTTTTGTACAGTTGGAAGATCCAGGTATAGTTCATAAGAATCAAGCTGAGTCGTCCTATTAGGTTTGTTTCACATGAAAGAACACGGATGGTAGCTATCACTGCTGTCACCTTGTCCGAGCGCAGGAGTGCCAACATTATACCTTGATCCTAGCTGAGCTGTTGCAAGTACAAAGGTGGAGTATGTAGAGTTGGTACAGGTACACTAGAAGTACGTCGAGAGCGACGGTACCTCGGTACATCCGAAGATTTGTGTGTCCCCTGAAAAACTGATTTCAAGCCATGTTGAACGACTGAAGAGTTGCAACCCCTTCGGTACGGCAAAAGAACTCTCGGCATGTTCCAACTTCACTTCATTTTGGACCAACGGGCAATTGTCAAAGGCATCCTCCCCAAGGTGCGTCACTGAGTTCGGGATGGTCACGCTCACCAAAGACCGGCAATCCCGAAAGGCATGACCCCCAATCCGGGTCACTGAGTCTGGGATGGTCAAGCTCACCAAAGAACTGCAATTGTTGAAGGCACTTTCCCCAATATGGATCACTGAGCTTGGAATGGTCAAATTCGCCAAGGAGATGCAATTCCGAAAGGTATCATCCCCAATGTGCGTCACTGAGTTCGGGATGGTCACGCTCACCAAAGCCCGGCAATCCCGAAAGGCATGACCCCCAATCCGGGTCACTGAGTCTGGATGGTCAAGCTCACCAAAGAACTGCAAGTGTCAAAGGCACTTTCCCCAATGTGGATCACCGAGTTTGGCATGGTCAAGTTCACCAAAGCACTGCAACCCAGAAAGGCCCTATTCCCAATGTGGGTCACTGAGTTTGGGAGGGTCAAGCTTGTCAAAGAGCTGCACTCCCGAAAGGCACCATCCCCAATGTGGGTGACTGAGTTTGGGATGGCCAAGTCCACCAAAGCCTGGCAATCCTCAAAGGTATGCATCCCAATGCGGGTCACTGAGTT